CAATTGGTTGTTAAAGGCTTTGGGCAGAAGAAAGGTGTTGATTTTGACGAAATCTTCTCACCAGTTGTGAAATTGATATCCATTCAAGTAGTTTTGGGACTAGTGGCCAGTTTGAATGTGGAACTTGAACAGATGGATGCGAAGACGAAATTTCTCCATGGTGATTTGAATGAAGAAATTTACATGGAGCAGCCATAAGGTTTTGAAGTAAAGGGGAAAAGAAACTTAGTTTGCAGATTAAAAAAGAGTCTCTACGGCCTCAAACAAGTGCCGCGACAATGGTACAAGAAGTTTGACTCATTCATGGTGGGCCATGAGTACAAGAGAATTGCTGCAGACCAGTGTGTATATGTAAGGAAATTTCCTAATAGAAACTTTATCATACTTCTGCTCTATGTTGATGATATGCTGATTGTTGGACAGGATGCCATCACAATCAAATCACTGAAGAAGGAGTTATCATAGTCCTTTGACATGAAGGAACTAGGCCTTGCACAACAAATTTTGGGCATGAAAATTATGCGTGATAGGGAAGCCAAGAAGTTGTGGTTGTCACAGAAGAAGTACATTGAATAGGTGATTAAAAAGTTCAAATAAAAAATGCCAAGCCAGTCAGTACTCCACTAGCTAATCATTTTAAGCTGAGCAAGAGTTCTTGTCCTTCCTCTACAAAAGAAAGAGAAGAGATGGAGGCAATTCCCTACTCATCCACCGTAGGGAGTTTAATGTATGCAATGGTGTCCACCCGACCAAATATTACTCATGATGTTGAAGTAGTAGATTTCTTTCCAATCCAGAGAAAGAGCATTGGGAAGCAGTGAAGTGGATTATGAAGTACCTTAAGGGTACACCCAAAATGTGTCTGTGCTTTGGAGGAGCAAAACCAATCTTGGAAGGCTATACAAATTCAGATATGGCGGGAGATCTTGATGGTAGGGAATCTGCATCAAGATTTATGTTCACTTTCGTAGAGGGAGCTGTGTCTTGGCAGTCCAAGCTGCAGAAGTGTGTTGCTTTATCCACAACTGAGGCAGAGTATATTACCACAACAGAAGCTGGAAATAGTTGTTGTGGTTGAAGCGGTTTCTCCAAGAATTGGGACTAAAGTAAGAAAAGTTCACGGTACATTGTGATAGCCATAGTGCCATAGACCTGAGCAAAAATTCTATGTACTATTCTCGCACAAAGCACATTGATGTTCGGTATCATTGGATACGTGAAGTGACGGACAAGTAGTTATTGGAACTAATCAAAATCCATACAGATAAGAATCTATCTGACATGCTTACAAAGGTGGTCTCGAGAGACAAGCTCGAAATTTGCAGAGACATTGCCGGGACGGACTTCAAGTGAGAAGTCAATCATGTATGTGGGTATGGAGGGGGAGAATTATTAGCACCAACCCACATGCATGCAGAGGATGGCGTATGAGGACTTCTAACACAAGTAAAGGAAGTCTGAGCTGGGCATCTCTCTCTTCTCTTCACGTTCTTGCCATTGTTGACTCTCACCAAAAGAAGGTAGAAATTTTGGTGGGTTTGTATCTCTGTGTGTGTGTGTGTATAATAGAGACAGGAGAAAGAGGGTGAATCGTATCATCGAAAATTTGAGAGATATATAGCTGTGAGTTGAGCGAGTGTTTCTCCTTCTCTGTTTTTGTATTGCACTGTTTTAGTGAACTTCTCGTTTCTATTCCATGGACGTAGACATTGGATCGAACCATGTAAATATTTGTGTCTCGGTTGTGTGTGTGATTGTTTGTTGTTTATTTTCTAGGTGTCCATAATCCTAACAATATACTCATTGTAAGTGAAGTTCTTGACCAAGTTATTTGTGTCATAAATAATATATCCTGAGAAAATTACAGCGCTGATTCAACTATAAACCGCAATAGAGGTGGAACTGAGTGGAAAGAATATCAGCATAATAGCATAAGACCAACCAGGTCAAGTACAAAATCAATAAGCATAGACATATTTTCATATAATTGTGAATATTGAAAATCTACGTGGCAATATAACTTCAAAAGAAGATCAATTTAACCTAGATAAAACCAGCCAAGAAGAGAGTAAATAGAGAGGTGAACAAGATTGGTTCGAGATAGATGAAGTCTTTGCCCTTCTTAAATGATCTCCAATGGTTACTCAAAACTATCATCAAATTTAAATTTGATGAAAAATAGCTTCTTTTCCTGCTACAATGGTTTCATCAAATACGTATCAAATCCAGGATTTCACTTTTCTTTCATGAAATTGAGGATCAATGTGCCTTTCATCAAATCACTGTTCATTACTGTTACATTTCCACTACTAGATGTCTCCTCGGATGACCACCTCAAGGCAAAAATTTGTGAAAAAGTACACTAGCCAGTTGACCAGTGGTTTGATAAAATTACAAAACCCTCCATTAGAGCACTTGATATCAAAGGAAGCTTTTACTCAAATTTGATGAAAAAATTGATGCACCGTTAGAGATGCCCTTAGAAAATCAGAAAGTGTACCTAGTCAAGGAGGCTACCACATCTAACGTCAATATTAGGGCTTCGGCCACAATTTTTCCTATAAAACTCCCAATGCAAAAAGATATCACACAATAGTTTTATGTAATCGTCATGCAGTCAACATTTCACCCATTAAGATTTGAAGTAGTTTACAAGAAACTATCATCCATCTGTATTGGCACAGCTTACACCAACAGTGAGACTCAGACACAGGGTATAGAGTCCAAGGATAATCAAGTTCAGTGGATGCTTTTGCCGATATACATAGGCCACAACACTGCATTTTGATGAGACTTGCATGTTAGTATTCAAAACTAGACATGTAAAGCCAAGAAGAATTCTTTGAAGTGAATGGTGACTGCTCATCATTAATGCCAAATTTTTGTGCCCTAAAACTTTAATTCTTTACCACGGAGGTTGTGTTTGTTACTTGTCATCAGCACGTCAATTTTGAGCCCCTTACCCCTTTACCCCACTGCCACGTCCTCAGCAACCATACTAATCCTAATCCTGTGCCCACCGTTAAGCCAACAATACTACATACCCATAAAAAGTATCCAGAAAAGTGATTCATATCCTACCAACTTTAAATCTATATCATTTACCGCCTCCATTTCGGGATAAGTTTTGGGGCCTACCAACTTTAAATCTATATCATTCACCGCCTCCATTTCGGGATAAGTTTTGGGGCAAAAATCATGGTTACAGAGCATTTTTCTTTAGCAGATCCCAAAGCTAACTAATGCAGAAGAGTAATATAGTACATACATACATATATACATAACCCAATACTTCTATTCTATAGCAATTACCAGCAATAAACAAGTAACTATGAACCAGAGAACAACACAATTTTATAATAAATAAATAAAAAAAGTCAAACCCCAAATGATCAAGAGAAAAAACTAAGCCAAAAATAAAAAATAAAAAAAGAAGAAGAAGAGTATAAAAGGAAGTCAAAGAATAACCAAGTCAAAATTTAAATTCAATCCTTTAAAAATATCCCAATTTTATTCAAATTCAATCCTTTAAAAATATTCCAATTTTATAAATCAAACAAATAGTAAAATTGTAGAGATCTAGGATACAGTGTTCCCTCCTCTATGTCCCCCTTCGTGTTCAAGGTCTCGAACCTGTACACAAACGCCCCAGAGATTTCTCATTAATGCAGTAGTTGCGCCTCTAGATTTTTCTAAAATTATAAAAATACCCCTTATTTTTCCTAAATACACACGTTAAATTACACAAACACCCCAGAGATTTCTTGGGAGGTTCTTGATCCTGAAAATCTCGTCTTCAAAGCCTTGGATAAAGCAACCAAGTAAAACTGTTGACTGATTGCTCTTTGATCAGTGATTCACCGGCCATTCACCGGACAGTTGATCGGTGAAGAAACTCTCCAAATTTCTGCTCTTTGATTGCATCATTACAATAATGTTAAACGTAGACATTTCTCTAGATTTTTTTATTTCAACAGAAGTGGAAATAACAACAACAACAACTATTTGTGTCATTTGATTGCAACCAAAGAATTAATGGAAATCTAAAGACTTGGCATTTTGTATATTATTTAGCTCAACCGAAAAAGGGTCATGCATCCATGGTCACAATAAAATCTTCAGTAGAGCTAATGCATTTCAAATAGAAAGTGAAACTTCTATCCCAGATATTACTAATGATGTTAGCCTATTAGTATACCCTGCTGCCCGCTTTATTTCCCCTGTTAACGTTAATTCTGAAACAAGTCTTTGCATCTAATATTTATTCGAAGTCTTGACGACTATAAGTTGAAGCGTGAGAAGGTTTAGTTATTGTTATCTTCAACATGAAGTTGACAGTCTGCACAACTTCATAAATAAACCCAAACACACATTTTCTCATATTTTCTCAGTGATGTTATACAGTCTTATTGACCACAGTCGCTAGTTAAGCAGACTGAAAGTGCACGTAGAATATGACAATATTTCTAGCCAGGTAGGTTTCAAAAATTTTCCCAGAAACCAAGTCATTAGTAAACAAAAAGCCCGTGTTGTTTTAATGGATTCATATAATAATTGCTAGTTCATATAGCAAGATGGTCACAGAATACATGTGCACTATGAGATAGGTCGACCTAAAAAGAGACCACACAGTTAGCATTATAAATATTCATTATATTAGTGAGACCATCCTCATGTAACAAACAATAATTTAAAGAATTGGCACAACTTTGAATGATATTTTTCATACAAAAATGTATAACAACCACAACATAGTCTTGTAAATTGATGATAATAAAAGAAAATAAATAAAAATGTGCCTAGAAGACCTCAGATGCTGCAGTATCTTTCTACAGAACACCACCTAGACATGTCTCAACATGGTCGGAATTCTGTTCACATAGTTTATCAACTAGAGAACAGAAAATACATTCACGGAGCGTGTAACCTATACTAAACATATAATCCAACACAAGTATAGCCTCCTCCAACTTATCTCCTTGTGATAGACATTGAATTAGTCACTCAAAAGTTTGCTTTTGCGGTTTTAGGTTACGTCTCAACATTGCAGCCAACCATTCCATCCCCTTGGCTACATACCCTTTATTGCTCAATCTAGTTATGGTGAAATTACAGGTACATACTGCTGGTTCCACACCCCTTTTCAGCATATCCTCCCACAACTCTTTTGCTTCATCCACATCACCCATCTCACAAAGTTTTTCTATGGGCGCAGTATACGTGGCAGCTGAAGGCTGCAAACCCTTCTCCAAAAGTTTAGCCAAAAGATTTATGCTTTCATCTATTTTCCCTTCCTTGCAGAAACCCTGAATCAAAGAATTGTACGTGATAATATCACGAGCAATTCCCTTTTCAGCCATTTCTTCAAACAACACATGAGTTTTCTCTGTTCTTCCATGCAAACACAACCCTCTGATCATAGTGTTGCAACTCACTGTGGTCTCTTTATAACCTTTACAACACATTTCATTGTATAGCTCCTTCACCTCTTCGAGATTACCAATCCTACATAACCCATAAATGAATGCATTGTACGTGTATTCATTTGGAACTATTCCTTTATGAACCATCTCAAACCGAAGCTTCCGAGCCTCTCCAATCCATTTCATCTTGCAAAGACCATGTATCATCGTTGTGTACATGACCCTATCCGGAGCATACCCTCTATTCTTTAAATCATTGAAAATCCGAATCCTTCATGCCACATTCTTCTCTTGCATAGCTCTTTGATAATTTCCTAATACGTAAAGATATCAGGGCGTCGGTTCTTTGCAATCATAGTATGAAGGAGAGCAGACACTCTCGAATAGTATCTGTACTTGCAAAATCCAGATATCAATTTATTAAAAGTAACATTACTGGGAACAAACCCATCTTCCAAAACTTGCCTAAGTAGCCCAAAACCTTTCGAAACATTGTTATCAATACAAAAAGCTTGAATCAAATACTCAACTGTATCTACATCTCCGGTGACACCACTACCCATCATTTCTTCATACAACTTCCAAACAACATCGGTTCGCCTAGCTCTAACCGAACCCAACAAAGCCGAATTCCATGTTCTAACAACAGGCAAATACCTAGCTTTTGCAATTCATCAAACACCTCTAGTGCTTTCTCAATTGACCCATTTTCACACAGACATCTAACATAAGCCTTTAAAGAACCAGGTTGAGGAGTAAAATCTACAGAAGTCCAAAACGATTTCGCAGCATTGGCAGCTTTAGCTTCTACAACACCATCAGAAATCACATCACACGCCAATTTATCCGGTACAAAGCTACGTTGAGAGCTTAGCCAAAGATAGAAACGGAGAGAAAGAAGCACATTGTTTTGCTGCTTCCAAAGCTCAATAAAAAAGTTGGGATCGAAGAGATTGATTGAAAGAAAATCTAAGAGTAGAGTTTGTTCCCATCTGGGTTAAGTCTGAATGACCCTCGAAACTTCTTTGGCGATCTGGGTTAAGCTCTGGGTCTTCGGGTGTTGATGGGTCTGAAGAAATTCTTCGCCGCCATTGCTGAGGCCGAGGTTTTGGATTTGGGGGTTAGGGTTTTGGATGGAGCGATGATTTTGGTGGCAGAGGAAGAGGGTTTTGAGAGATTGTGGAGGTCTTGCCATTCACTGTGGTGAGAGATGATTGTTATTAGGGTATGAAAATGGAGGGTTTTGAGTGTATATATATATATATATATGGAAAAAGAGGCAGACCCCTACTGGGGGTGACCCCAGTAGACTCTGAACGAGCAATTTTTTTTTTTTTTTTTCTTCTTTGAGCCAATGACAAACCGCCACTTGTGTGTGGGGTGATGGTGGTGGAACTTTACTGAGGGGTCTCTAGCAAAGTTGTATATATATATATATATTGAAGAAAGACTGTAAAGGCAAGCAAATTAAAATATTTTGAGACCACAAAAATAATAACAATTTAAAATATCATATTATTTTTAAATATTTATTCACATGTTTTCGATTTGTTTATTTAATTAATATATTATTATTACCATCACTAGTTACCGCCTGTCACATCTAATTGAATTTTTTATTAATGAAAATTTTGAGATAATCATCAAACGAGCAATTCAGTGGATGATAAATACAAATTAAAATATTACCTTTCAAAATAATAATTTACTATTTATCACCAAATAATTTTATTAAATATATATTTCCAATCAAAACAAAACAATCGTTTACCTTAATCTCATACACCTCTAAAAATAAATTTCTCAACCATTTTCCTGTTTTTTATATATTTAAAATACTTTATTATCAAATAAAAAAATTGTAATTTTAATTTGCTAGAAGCTCTACATTTTAAGATGTAAAGGTTTAGTTATTGTTATCTTCAACATAAGGTTGACAGTCTACACGACTTCATAAATAGACACAAACACACATTTTCTCATATTTTCTCAGTGATGTTATACGGTCTTATTGATCACAGTTGCTAGTTAAGGAGACTGAAAGTGCAAGTAGACTATGTCAATACTGCCAGCCAGGTAGGTTTCAAAAAATTTCCCATAAACCAAGTCATTAGTAAACAAAAAGCCCGTGTTGTTTTAATGGATTCATATAATAATTGCTAATTCATATAGCAAGATGGTCACAGAATACATGTGCACTATGAGATAGGTCGACTTAAAAAGAAATCACACAGTTAGCATTATAAATATTCATTATATCAGTGAGACCATCCTCATGTAACAAACAATAATGCAAAGAGTTGGCCCAACTTTGAATGATATTTTTCATACAAAAATGTATAACAACCACAACATAGTCCTATAAATTGATGATAACAAAAGAAAATAAATAAAAATGTGCCTAGAAGACCTCAAATGCTGCAGTATCATTCTGCAGAATACCACCTAGACATGTCTCAACATGGTCGGAATTCTGTTCACATAGTTTATTAACCAGAGAACGAAAAATACATTCATGGAGCGTGTAACCTATACTAAACATATAATCCAACACAAGTATAGCCTCATCCAGCTTATCTCCTTGTGATAGACATTGAATTAGTCTCTCAAAAGTTTGCTTTTGCGGTTTGAGGTTACGTCTCAACATTGCAGCCAACCATTCCATCCCCTCGGCTCCATACCCTTTATTGCTCAATCCAGTTATGGTGAAATTACGGGTACATACTGCTGGTTCCACACCCCTTTTCTGCATATCCTCCCACAACTCTTTTGCTTCATCCACATCACCCATCTCACAAAGTTTTCCTATGGGGGCAGTATACGTGGCAGCTGAAGGCTGCAAACCCATCTCCAAAAGTTTAGCCAAAAGATTTATACTTCCATCTATTTTCCCTTCCTTGTAGAAACCCTGAATCAAAGAATTGTACGTGATAATATCACGAGCAATTCCCTTCTCAGCCATTTCTTCAAACAACACATGAGCTTTCTCTGTTCTTCCATGTAAACACAGCCCTCTGATCATAGTATTGCAACTCACTATGGTCTATTTATACACATTTCATTGTATAGCTCCTTCGCCGCTTCGAGATTACCAATCCTACATAACCCATAAATGAATGCATTGAACGTGTATTCATTTGGAACTATTCATTTGTGAACCATCTCAAGCCAAAGCTTCCGAGCCTCCCCAATCAATTTCATCTTGCAAAGACCATGTATCATCGTTGTGTACATGACCCTATCCGGAGCATACCCTCTATCCTTTAAATCATTAAAAATTCGAAATCCTTCATGCCGCATTCTTCTCTTGCATAGCTCTCTGATAATTCCCTAATACGTAAAGATATCAGGGCGTCGATTCTTTGCAATCATAGTATGAAGGAGAACAGACACTCTCGAATAGTATCTATCCTTGCAAAATCCAAATATCAATTTATTAAAAGCAACATTATTGGGAACAAACCCATCTTCCAAAACTTGCCTAAGTAGCCCAAAACCTTTCGAAACATTGTTATCAATACAAAAAGCTTGAATCAAATACTCAACTGTATCTACATCCCGTGCAACACCACTACCCATCATTTCTTCATACAACTTCCAAACAACATCGGTTCGCCTAGATCTAACCGAACCCAACAAAGTCGAATTCCATGTTTCTAATAACGGGCAAATACCTAGCTTTTGCAATTCATCAAACACCTTCAGTGCTTTCTCAATTGACCCATTTTCACACAAACATCTAACATAAGCCTTTAAAGAACCAGGTTGAGGAGTAAAATCTACAGAATTCAAAAATGATTTCGCAGCATTGGCAGCTTTAGCTTTTACAAGACCATCAAAAATCGCATCACACGCCAATTTATCCGGTACAAAGCTACGTTGAGACCTTAGCCAAAGATAGAAACGGAGAGAAAGAAGCACATTGTTTTGCTGCTTCCAAAGCTCAATTAAAAAGTTGAGATCGAAGAAATTGATTGAGGGAAAATCTGAGAGTAGAGTTTGTTCCCATCTTGGTTAAGTCCGAATGACCCTCGAAACCTCTTTGGCGATCTAGGATAAGCTCTTGGTCTTCGGCTGTTGATGGGTCTGAAGAAATTCTTCACCGCCATTGCTGAGGCCGAGGTTTCGGATTTGGGGTTAGGGTTTTGGATGGAGCGATGGTTTTGGTGGCATAGGAAGAAAGTTTTGAAAGATTGTGGAGGTCTTGTCATTCACTGTGGTGAGAGATGATTGTTATTAGGGTACGAAAATGGAGGGTTTTGAGTGTATATATATATTTGGAAAAAGAGGCAGACCCCCACTGGAGGTGACTCGAGTGGGCTCTAAATGGGCAAATTATTATTTTTTTTTTTTGAGCCAATGACCAACCCCCACGTGTGTATCGGGTGATGGGGGTGGAACTTTACTGGGGGGTCTCTAGCAAAGTTGTATATATATATATATATATATTAAAGAAAGCTTGTAAAGGCGAGCAAATTAAAATATTTTGAGACCACAAAGATAATAACAATTTAAAATATCATATTATTCTTAAATATTTATTCACATGTTTTCGATTTGTTTATTTAATTAACATATTATGATTACCATCACTATTTACCGCCAGTCACATCTAATTGAATTTTTTAGTAATAACAATTTTGAGATAATCATCAAAAGGGCAATTCAGTCGATGATAAATACAAATTAAAATATTACCTTTCAAAATAATAGTTTATTATTTATCACCAAATAATTTTATTAAATATATATTTCCGATCAAAACAAAACAATCCTTTACCTTAATCTAATACACCTCAAAAAATAAATTTCTCAACCATTTTCCTGTTTTTTATATTTTTAAAATACTTTATTATCAAACAAAAAAATAGTAATTTTAATTTGCTAGAAGCTCTACATTTTAAGATGTGAAGGTTTAGTTATTGTTATCTTCAACATAAAGCTGACAGTCTGCACGACTTCATAAATAAACACAAACACACATTTTCTCATATTTTCTCACTGATGTTATACGGTCTTATTGACCACAGTTGCTAGTTAAGGAGACTGAAAGTGCATGTAGGATACGACAATACTGCCAGCCAAGTACGTTTAAAAAATTTTCCCAGAAACCAAGGAAGTCATTGGTAAACAAAAAACCTGTGTTGTTTTAATGGATTCATATAATAATTGCTAGTTCATATAGCAAGATGGTCACAGAATACATGTGCACAATGAGATAAGCCGACCCAAAAAGAGACCACACAGTTAGCATTATAAATATTCATTATATCAGCGAGACCATTCTCATGTAACAAACAATAATGCAAAGAATCGGCACAACTTTGGATGATATTTTTCACAGAAAAATGTATTACAAGCACAACATAGTCCTGTAAATTGATGATAATGTAAGAAAATAAATAAAAATGTGCCTACAAGACCTCAGATGCTGTAGTATCTTTCTGCAGAATACCACCTAGACATGTCTCAACATGGTCGGAATTCTGTTCACATAGTTTATCAACCAAAGAACGGAAAATACATCCACAGAGCGTGTAACCAATACTAAACATATAATCCAACACAAGTATAGCCTCATCCAGCTTATCTCCTTGTGATAGACATTGAATTGGTCTCTCAAAAGTTTACTTTTGCGGTTTGAGGTTACGTCTCAACATTGCAGCCAACCATTCCATCCCCTTGGCTACATACCCTTTATTGCTCAATCCAGTTATGATGAAATCACGGGTACATACTGCTGGTTCCACACCCATTTTCTGCATATCCTCCCACAACTCTTTTGCTTCATCCACATCACCCATCTCACAAAGTTTTTCTATGGGCGCAGCATACGTGGCGGCTGAAGCCTGCAAACCCTTCTCCAAAAGTTTAGCCAAAAGATTTATACTTTCATCTATTTTCCCTTCCTTGCAGAAGCCCTGAATCAAAGAATTGTACGTGATAATATCACGAGCAATTCCCTTTTCAGCCATTTTTTCAAACAACACATGAGTTTTCTCTGTTCTTCCATGAAAACACAGCCCTCTGATCATAGTGTTGCAACTCACTGTGGTCTCTTTATAACCTTTACAACACATTTCATTGTATAGCTCCTTCGCCTCTTCGAGATTACCAATCCTAGATAACCCATAAATGAATGCATTGTACGTGTATTCATTTGGAACTATTCCTTTGTGAACCATCTCAAACCAAAGCTTCTGAGCCTCCCCAATCCATTTCATCTTGCAAAGACCATGTATCATCGTTGTGTACATGACCCTATCCGGAGCATACCCTCTATCCTTTAAATCATTGAAAATCCGAAATCCTTCATGTCACATTCTTCTCTTGCATTGCTCTCTGATAATTTCCTGATACGTAAAGATATCAGGGCGTCGGTTCTTTGTAATCATAGTATGAAGGAGAGCAGACACTCTCGAATAGTATCTGTCCTTGCAAAATCCATATATCAATTTATTAAAAGTAACATTACTGGGAACAAACCCATCTTCCAAAACTTGCCTAAGTAGCCCAAAACCTTTCGAAACATTGTTATTAATACAAAAAGCTTGAATCAAATACTCAACTGTATCTACATCTCCTGCAACACCACTGCTCATCATTTCTTCATACAACTTTCAAACAACATCGGTTCACCTAGATCTAACCGAACCCAACAAAGCCGAATTCCATGTTTCTAATAACGGGCAAATACCTAGCTTTTGCATTTCATCAAACACCTTCAGTGCTTTCTCAATTGACCCATTTTCACACAGACATCTAACATAAGCCTTTAAAGAACTAGGTTGAGGAGTAAAATCTACAGAAATCAAAAATGATTTCGCAGCATTGGCAGTTTTAGCTTCTACAACACCATCAAAAATCACATCACACGCCAATTTATCCGGTACAAAGCTACGTTGAGAGCTTAGCCAAAGATAGAAACGGAGAGAAAGAAGCACATTGTTTTGCTGCTTCCAGAGCTCAATAAAAAAGTTGGGATCGAAGAGATTGATTGAAAGAAAATCTGAGAGTAGAGTTTGTTCCCATCTGGGTTGAGTCCGAATGACCCTCAAAACCTCTTTGGCGATCTAGGTTAAGCTCTGGGTCTTCGGCTGTTGATGGGTCTGAAGAAATTCTTCGCCGCCATTGCTGCGGCCAAGGTTTCGGATTTGGGGGTTAGGGGTTTGGATGGAGCGATTGTTTTGGTGGTAGAGAAAGAGGGTTTTGAGAGATTGTGGAGGTCTTGCCATTCACTGTGGTGTGAGATGATTGTTATTAGGGTATGAAAATGGAGGGTTTTGAGTTTGTATATATAAATATATATGGAAAAAGGGACAGACCCGTACTGGGGGTGACCTCTGTGGGCTCTGAATGGGTGAACTTTTTTTTTTTCTTTGAGCCAGTGACCAACCCCCACGTGTGTGTGGGGTGATGGGGGTGGAACTTTACTCGGGGGTCTCTAGCAAAGTTGTATATATATATATATATATATTGATAAAGACTGTAAAGGCAAGCAAATTAAAATATTTTGAGACCACAAAAATAATAATAATTTAAATATCATATAATTTTTAAATATTTATTCACATGTTTTCGATTTGTTTATTTAATTAACATATTATTATTACCATCACTATTTACCGCCAGTCACATCTAATTGAATTTTTTAGTAATAACAATTTTGAGATAATCATCAAACGGGCAATTCAGTGGAGGATAAATACAAATTAAAATATTACCTTTCAAAATAATAATTTATTATTTATCACCAAATAATTTTATTAAATATATATTTCCAATCAAAACAAAACAATCCTTTACCTTAATCTCATACACCTCTAAAAATAAATTTCTCAACCATTTTCTTATGTTTTATATATTTAAAATACTTTATTATCAAACAAAAAAATTGTAATTTTAATTTGCTAGAAGTTCTACATTTTAAGATGTGAAGGTTTAGTTATTGTTATCTTCAACATGAAGTTGACAGTTTGCACGACTTCATAAATAAACACAAACACACATTTTCTCATATTTTCTCAGTGATGTTATACGGTCTTATTGACCACAGTTGCTACTTAAGGAGACTGAAAGTGCGTGTAGAATATGACAATACTACCAGCCAGGTAGGTTTCAAAAATTTTCCCAGATACCAAGTCATTGGTAAACGAAAAGGCCGTGCCGTTTTAATGGATTCATATAATAATCGCTAGTTCATATAGCAAGATGGTCACAGAATACATGTGCACTATGAGATAGGTCGAGCTAAAAAGAGACCACACAGTTGAGGCTGCAAACAAGAACATCAAGAAAATTTTGCAAAAGATGGCAGAAACCTATAGGGACTGGCCAGATAAATTGCCATTCGCACTCTGGGGCTATAGAACTTCAATCCAAACGTCTACAGGGGTAATTCCTTATTCTCTTGTTTATGGCATGGAAGCTGTTCTACCAATTGAAATTGAAGTACCATCACTGCGGGTTATGGCTTAGTGTCCGATAGTAGAGACCGACTGGCAACAGAGTAGATTTGAGGAGTTAATGTTGTTTGATGAGAGAAGGCTGAAGGCATTGTATCATGTCCAGGGCTACCAACGCAAAATTGCTAAGGCTTTTAACGAGAAGGTTAAGTCTAGGAATCTCAAGGAAGTAGATCTGGTGCTCAAAGACAACCGAGCTCCCATCCATGACCCTATGGGCAAGTTCAAACCCAATTGGACTTGTCCCTACATCATCAAGTCTATCTGGTCAGGAGGAGCAGTCATTCTCGTGGATCTATACGGCCGGGAATTTTCACAACCAATCAACATGGACAAGTTGAAGAAATATTACCCTTGAGAGGCTCGCTAGGCCGAAAACTCGAAAAGGCGACCTAAGAAAAAATTAGAGCCTGAAAAAAATTAGACATTATGAAAAATTGAGCTTGCAAGGTTGGAAACCCTAAAAGGCAACTTTGGCAAAAGTTAGAGCGTAAAAGGAGAGAGTCAATACTCGAGTGAACCCGAACTGAACCACGTAAGGTCTGATTCCCATTTTCAAGATACGTAGGCAACTTCATCCTGAAGTCCGGCCGTAAACACCTCCAACTCAACTGTCCTGTCCATATGTTGATCAGGTCATCTTCCTCTATTCTTTATCTAAAAGTTCGGTTGTGATCCTTACTCTGAGAGAAGAACAGGTTATAGTGCTTAGCAGAGTTATTCAATCAAGGGGCAATTTTCCATCTTTGGATTCGGGGTTGTACATCTCGAAGATAGATTTCATATTTTTCAAGTTTTGATCCTTATCGAAAATGGTTTTGAAAAGTTTTGATAAAAGTTGATTACATTCAAATTAATCTTTTTACAACTTAGACCATTTTTGGACCAAAAGGAAAATTTTCAGTGTTCACAACTCTAATTTCAGTGATTTCAATACAAAGTTCTTTTATTACACGCAAAAGAAAACTTGAACAGTAAAGATCAAAGCAAATAAACTAGGGGCATAGATGAGTCAGGTGTTCATGCGTCCCCTGCTTGTGCTTGTGGAAGCCTCTGATGCTAAAATGGGCCCTGTTTGTGCCTCATCTTCGAGCCAAGTCAGGCACTCGCTAGAAAAGGGCACAGATGAAACCAGGGGCAGCAGCCAGAAGTTCTCTCGTCCTCCACGCAGTGGGATATCTAGCCAATTGTGAACCTCGGATTGGGAATGAAACTAGGTACTCTACCCCCTCTTTTGGGCAAGTCTGGTCATGTCCAAACTGACGCCTGAATCGAAACGGAAAGTAGAACACATAATGTGTCAATCCAATCAACCGAATGCCAGGTTGCCGAGTCATGCTGTAGCTCATCTCGGGCAGATCTAACCAGGGACAATGCCAAGCAATGTCAACAGCAGACCTGTGGCACATCCAATGGTACTACCATCCCTCATTCGGGAAATCCACTAGCTATTGGCGAAAAGAGTAACCTCGAGCCGAGTACCCAGGGCAAGGGTCTACTACTTTCAGTTTGTCTATTAACCATACTTGGGACAAGATAAAAATTAAGAGAGATTAAAGAATAGAGAGATGTATGTTGAGAGAAAGGAGAGGGGGTTTTGAGAGAAAAACAGAGTTTAAGTGTTGAGTGATTTTAGAATCATAAATCAGAAGGGTGTGAAATCATACATGGAGAAGTAGCGGACTCCCTGCAAACCTGGTTGTTTCCTACTGATGAATAGCATCCATGCCCATCAAGGTTTTGGCCAATGCCAAACCAATACAACTCTTACCTTCTTTCAGGCATTGGGCCACTTCGATTAATCGGATACTGGCTCCGCCCTAACTAGGGGCAATTGGGAATTGCGTAAGTAGGCATAAACAGAGAGCATGTTGTCAATAGTTGCGCCAAAGAAGGTCACTCCTATCTCCAATAACGGAAAATGATGAACTAAACCTGGGATGTTTAGTTCCCCATCATATGCCAAAGATCGAGCCTCCTACATTGATAATCTGCACTTTCGTCCCAAATCTTGGGCATTGCCCAAACGGGATTGAGGCATGATTGCTTTTCCACACCGGGATTCCGTTAGTGCTTGAACTTCTTTGAGTGTTAGACACATCTCTTGTGATTCAAAGTGAAATACATGTGTGACCGAGTTCCAATATCGAACTGTGGCATGGAGGAATGGAAAGCAAAATGAAGTACGGCTCAAACAAAAAAGGGCGCTGAGGCCGAAACTGCAAAAATTCATCTTTTTCGAGCCATCCAAAGTAGCTATCCAGTCTCGAAGCCTACTGATAAGCAGCATCTCCATCTTGAGAGCAAAATATAAATAGCATTTATTGAGTTTTAGAAGGAGCAGTGCATGACAGCTAGACAGCACTGACCGACCTTTTTTTGAGGCCCGTCCGGGTCTAGGTGGTGACCCAGACCGGTGCAAATGCAGCAAAGGCTGGCCCTTTGTTCTAGCATATCGCAGTTATGTTTTAAGTACTGTTTCGTTTGTACCAAGTGTCGTTCAATATTTTCGAGTTGTTTTCATTTCGTTTTCCTGTTATCGAGTTGTAATTTACATATTTGTTCGATTGTGGGGTTGTTATCCGATTCAAGAACGAATGCAAGAGCAGGTATTCACAGTTTGAAGTCCTGTATGATGCTATTATTCATCACATGCTATTCATCACACATTATGCGAGGACATCATCCAAAAAAAAAAAATCTTTCATAAACTGATGGGTCCAACCCCGATCATGAGTCTATCTGAAGCTAGTGTTTAAACTACAAAAAAAAAAAAGAGG